GCGGGTCCGAAGGCGGCGTCCGCTGAGCGGCGCGGACACCCGGCGGTGGCTTTGCGTTATGGAGCCCTCACCCAGCCTGGGGGGCGGTTAGTAATGGTGTCCCTTGTACAGACGAGGAAACGAGCAGAGAGGTGGTGACCTCCCCAAGCCAACAGTTTCAAAGTGGACTCTCAAACGAGGAGTTTGTTGGGATCTTGGAAATCAATTTTGGTCCAACTTCCTTCCTTTACAAATGTATAAAGTGAGACCCAGGGAGTGAAATTACTTGTCCAGGGTCACGCAGCGAAACTGGGACACAGGCATCTGCACCCGGTGCATCCGATGATGCTAGAAGAGGGTAGCCAGGAGCCGGGTGTCACTTGCACCAAAAGACCCACGTGGCCCAGCCTGCAAGGTGGGACAGGTGGGCGGGGCAGTGTAACTGAGCTTCTTGAGAGGCAAGGACTATGCCTTAAGGGCTGTTTATGATTCCCTCTCATTGATGTTTCTATCTCTCTTCCTCTCCCTGTCTCTCTGAAATCAATAAAACTATATTAAAGTAACCTGTGAAAAAATCTGTGTATATGAAAATATACTAAATATTATTAGTCATTAGTGATATTCAAATCACAACTACATTGTGATACTATTTCACACTGAGGATGGCTAAAATACAAAAGACAGACAGTAACAAGTATTGGTGACAATGTAGAGAAATTGGAAGCCTCATACATTGCTGGTGAAAATGTAAAATGGTGCAGCTCCTTCAGAAAACAGTTCCTCAAATGGTGGAGCCGGCATATACAGGAATGAAGTACTGATACGTGCTTCACCATGGTGGCCCTTGAAAACATTATGCCAAGTGAACGAAGGTAGTCACAAAAAAACCACATATTTGTATTATTCTATTTATATGAAACGTCCAGAATAGGCAAATTCCTAGAGATAGAAAGTAGATTAATGGTTGTCAAGGGGTAAGGAAAGGAAGGATTGGGGACTGACTGCCAATGGAGAGAAGGGGCAAAAGTTTTCTACATATTATAATGGTGGTTGTAAACGAAGGTAGTCACAAAAAAACCACATATTTGTATTATTCTATTTATATGAAACGTCCAGAATAGGCAAATTCCTAGAGATAGAAAGTAGATTAATGGTTGTCAAAGGGTATGGGGAAGGAAGGATTGGGGACTGACTGCCAATGGAAAGAAGGGGCAAAAGTTTTCTACAAATTATAATGGTGGTTGTTCAGCCCCCTGAATATACTAAAGACAACAACATTGAATTGTGTATTTGAAATGGGTGAATTATTAATTTCAATAAAACTGTTTAAAAGAACAGAAAAAAGTAATGTGTGTGGTGATACGGTGGAACTAATAAATATTTTGTTCCTTATCAAACTTTCACCTATAAGTTTGGCATACATTGATTCTTGCCTGAATCAATTTCTTTGATTATAGCAAAATTTTAAATTTCTAATTCTATCATTGTTTCTATATTTATTAGTTGGCATTTTACTTAAGGAAGAGCCATAAATACATTTAAAAAATTAAAAATGTGATTATAATCTACATAATGCTTTGTAATTTGCATTTTAATTTAATATTATACAAGATTGTGACTCTGTAAATATTTATCCATATCATCATTTTTAATGGCCACTTAGTATTTCATAGAATAAACATACCAATATTTCTTAAACAGTCCCTTATTGTTTAATACTTATGTCTATGTCAAAGGACATTCTTATATTCTTTTGGTATTTGTCCAATTATTTACGTAGGATAAGTATCTATTATCTAGTACAGCAGTTCTCAACCTGTGAGTCGCGACCCCTTTGGGGGTCGAATGACCCTTTCACAGGGGTTGCCTAAGACCATCAGAAAACACAAATATAATTACATATTGTTTTTGTGATTAATCACTATGCTCTAATTATGTTCAATTTGTAACAATGAAAATACATCCTGCATATCAGATATTTATATTATGATTCATACAGTATCAAAATTACAGTTATGAGGTAGCAACGAAAATAATTTTATGGTTGGGGGTCACCACCACATGAGGAACTGTATTAAAGGGTCGCGGCATTAGGAAGGTTGAGAACCACTGATCTAGTATCTATTCTGGGTTGAAGGGTGTCTACTTCTAAAAGTTACTTGATACTGCCAGGCCTGGGTGACTCAGTGGTTGAGCATTGACCTATGAACCAGGTCACGGTTCGATCCCAGGTCAGGGCACATGCCTGGGTTGCAAGCTTGATCCCCAGTGTGAGTTGTGCTGGAGGCAGCTGATCAATGATTCTCTCTGATCATTGATGTTTCTTCTTTTTTTAAAAAAAATAACCATATATATATATATGTGTGTGTATATATATATATATTTCGGAGAAGGGAGAGGGAGAAATAGAAACATCAATGGTGACAGAATCATTGATTGGCTGCCTCCTGCATGCCCCATAATGGGGATCAAGCTTGCAATCCAGGCATGTGCCCCGACCTGGAATCGAACCTATAACCTCCTGGTTCATAGGTTGACGCTCAACCACTGAGCCATGCTGGCTGGGCATTATTGGTGTTTCTACCTCTCTCTCCCTCTCCCTTCCTCTCTGAAATCTATAAAAATATATTTTAGCAAGTCGATACTATTGCCAAATTATCTTCCACAGTTGTTTCCCAAACACAGATCTAATCTTGCCACTCCTCTACTTAAGTCATTTTCAGTGTCCTCATTGCCTACAGAACCTAGTTCTATCTCCCTGGCAGAGCATTACATTGTCCCTCGTAACTTGACTCCTCTCTGCGTTTCAACATCTTTCTACTCTCTTTCATCTTCCTATGCTTCAGCTACACCAGACAACTTGTCATCTCTTAACATATTATAACATCCCATGCTACCAGGTCTTTGTTCAGGCTGTTCCCTTTGTCTTAAAGGCCCTCTTCTCTTTTGTCTGTGTGACTAAAATTTGCTCATCCTTTTCAACCCAGTTCAAAGGCCACTGACAAGCCTTTTCTAACTTCCCATGTAACTATACTAGCATGGCACTTAGCACATTAGTTACTTCCCTGTCATCTCCATAACACTGTGCTGAATTCCTTGAGGACAGGGTCTCTGTCTTATGGTGGTAGACAAGTGTTGTTTTTGCCTGCTTAACATTCAACTTTTTCTGAGAACCATATTCTGATTTTCCTTTGGAGAAACATCCCTCACCTCCCTTGTTCTCGTGAATGAATGTGACTCCAGGGTGAATATATGACCTAGGTCTAGTCAATCAATGCATCCTACACCAGTACCATAGTGATTGGTCCAGTGGAGAGTTGCTGAACCAAGGAGGACCAATCAGGGTCAACTAGGAATTCTGCTGGAATTGCTAGTCCAGAGAACTCTTGGAACTCACATAACAGCACTTTCATCATGTTCCAATGATCAAAGAACTTGTGGCCATTATTTTAAACGGCTTCATTCTATCCTCTGGTCTCATACAAAATATATTCAACTTCTTCCCAAGACTCCCATTATAACATCAGGCTCAGGCATGAAGTCCAGAATTACATCTAAACCAAGTCTGTGCATTTGAGGCTCTTCAGGTTTAGTTCCATGGCTGTTCTCAATCTAAAGACTTCAAAAGTAGAAAGACAAGTTTACTCCCACTCCCCCACCCCACACACACCTAGACAACTACAATAGAGGTTCTGGTTCAAAAGGGAGGAAATGAGAGCCCACAGCAAGCACTGATTAGAGCAATTCGAACTCCAGCTGGGCACATGTTGCCAGTTCCTTGACCCAATATTGGTCCAATATTGCTTCCTGGCAATGATTCTCTGTGGCTCTTAACTCCACTCTCTGGTTTTGCCTCTGAGTCATCTTTTTCTCCCCATAGGAACTAGCCCATCTTGCCTCTGAGAAGTTTTCTCAGCCTGCTTACACTCATAGAAGTTCAGGAGTCCAAAGGCCTCTTCATTTTGCACTGTTTCTGTCCCTTTTAGTTTGAGCTTGTGGTGCTTCTACCAATACAACTGTCTTGAAAATTCTGCGATTTTTCTATGACGTTTTGGGGAGTACTCCATTAGACAAAAGTCACACATATAAATCTCTTTAAGACAAGGACTTCTCTATCTGGGACTGCCAGTGTAGCTGCTGAGGGGTAATCTATCTACACTAATAAAAGACAAACATGCCAATTGACCATACCTTTGCCACACCTTAAGCCACTCCCACCAGCCAATCAGAGCGACTGTATGCAAATTAACCCAACCAAGATGGCGGCCGGCAGCCACGGAACTGGAGCAAGCAGGAGGCTTGGTTGCCCCAATGATGGAGGAAGCCAAGCTTCCCGCCTGCCACGCCAGCTCTGAGCTCCACTCAAAGCAACAAAGTTTCAATTATAGAAGGTAAATAAACCCCAGATACCTGTTTTCAGCTGGCGTGGCCACAGAGCTGGAGCAAGCAGGAGGCTTAGGTTGCCCCTGGTGATGGAGGAAGCCAAGCTTCCCTCCTGCCCGCCCTGGCCGGCTCTGAGCTCCTCTCAAGGCTACAAAGTTTCAATTATAGAAG